GTGGAAGCCACACCTCCACTGCAGTCCATAGGCCAGAAGAGTCTGAATCACCAGAATCACATTTCCTCTCCGTCTCCGCTGTGATACAGTGCAGTGATGATGGGTATTTCAGTTCTGGCTCTCCTGCTCTACAGCTTTGGTAAGTAATACTAACAGTAATAGGATGTTTTTTTGCTGTTGCCTTTAGTAAAATAAATTAAAAAATGAATAAACTGCATTTTAAATTCATAAATGTTGATGTTTTGATCATTTTTGACATGAACAGATGAAGACAGTCACTCCACTTCCACCCCGTGATGACAGTAAATCATGCCCTGTGTTGTGTGTTTCAGGTGTGCTGTCAGTGTGTTTGAGCTCTCAGCCTGGTTTAACTGTAGAAGCAGAACCTGGTGATGATGTCACTCTCTGGTGTCAGCACAATCTGACTGGTTCAGGTTACCTGGTCTGGTTTAAACACACATGCACTGCTACACCAGAGCGCATCGCATGCAGATACTATGAATCACTTTCCTCATCAGTCCAGTGTAATTTCTTTGCTGAAAGCAGTCGAATGGTGATGACTGTACATCCTGTGAACTCCTCTCTCACGATAGCTGCAGTGAACGACTCTGATTCAGGACTCTATTACTGCAGCATTCAGAGGGATCAACTACAGAAGAGTCACGTTCAGCAGCACAACACGTTTACTAGTGGAAGCAAAAGGTCATTTCTTTTCTTTATATTATCATGAATATACTTTATTAAGGCAACATGCTTCAAGGACAAATAGCAGTAATGCATTTTGCCATGTAAGCTGTCAGATTATGTTTATTTTTCAGAGCTAAATGATTCGCTCTCCAGCTCCACCAGCTGTAAAGAAGGTTTGCCTTTTCTTGTTCTTAACGAGACTATTTTGTTTTGTTTATTAACTGACTGATTATATATGATTTTAAGTGTAATAACTATTATCTGCTGTCTTATCCAAGCTGACATCTTCACTCTGAGTCTGCTGATTGGTGCTGTGACTTTTATTCTGCTGAGTGCTGTGATAATCCTGATCCTGCTCAGCTGGAGGGTCAGGAAACTACATAGAGACGGTAAAGCTCTGTCCAGCTGAGTTAATTAATTTAATCTTAATTACAGGCTTGTTTATGTAAATATAAATAGTGAAGAAAGAAGAAGACCTTAATGCACGGCTACTGGATGCCTTTTTCTTTTATTACAGATGCCAACAGGAAGCAAAGTAATGAGGTAATGCTGAAAATGTATATTCATATTTTACTTTAATACATTCTCAACTAAATTCTGTCTCAGTACATCTTACATTCTGAAAATTTGGTATAATATACAGTCGTGTGCAAAAGTTTGTGCACTCCTGTTCAACAGGTCGATGATTTTAAGTGAATAAGTTAACACAGTTCAAAATATAGGTAAAAATTATAAAAATGAATAAAACATTAGATGTGGTTTGTGCAAACATTATGGTACATTTTGTATTTTATTTATTTATTTATTTATTTATTTATTATTATTATTATTATTATTATTATTATTATTATGTTGTAGTTGTAGTTGTAGTAGTAGATTCAACAAATAAATAGAAATTGTAGCCTAGAAACTGCAGAAAAATGCCATGTTTAAGTGTGTTCAAATTTATTTAACTTAGAAAATGAACAAATCATGTCATATGACCAGGTGCGCCCACATTTTTGCTCTCTGTACATTATATGATTATTGTCTAAATTTCTGTAAATTTCAGTTGATGTTTGTTTTTTGTTTATATGAACTGCTTTTTGGTGTCTCTTAATTGGTGAATATTTTAAGCAGTTTTAATGTGTTTTTATTGAATGTTGTGTATTATGTGTTTTAGGAGGTGGAGTCTGACTTGACTTATACACATCTACAGTTCTCGAATAAGAGAATCAGCAAAGCCAGGACAGCAGAGAGACTCGCTGGAGTGGAACAACATGTTATATATTCTTCTGTAAGATAAGAGTCCTTTACAAGATTGTGTTTAAAGAAGGGAGACCAGAATAAGATGATTAACTTTTAAGGCAAATAAATATATTTGTACACTGTTTAAAAAATGGCCTCAAAAACTCAGCTTCAAATAATAAGTTTACAGGGTGTAAAACACAGATTCGTGTTCTGTTAGGTTGCCATTAGATGTTCAGTTAATTTTAATTTAAGTCCAAAACTAACTTTTTGAAGTTAAAACGCCTTTTTTTCTGTGTACAACAATTTTGCCAGTTAATGCCTTAAAGTGTTGAGTCTTTGGCAATCAAGACCTTCTGTCTATATAGTAGTTACGCACTGGATTCAGTTTGGTTTGCATGATCCAATCAGAATGACCTGCTCTAAGTGCTTTTAGCTGTCAAACGTAGGTAGTTTTTTTTCCACTAAGAAATGTTTTATTCTTCTGTAAAATTAAAATGATTTAGTCTATATGAAATGTAAATGAATGCTGTGGCCACCACAGCTGTGAACCAGGATAATTAAGCACATGAAGTATTATAAACAGAATTTTTAAAAACAATAAAAAAGCCCTCAAGAAAAGATCCGACCCTCCACTAATCCTGGATGCAGCCACAAACTTTGCATTCCAGGTCTGATTCCTTAGTTTTGAAATGTTTTAGATGTTTTTGTTCTTCCAGAGTACTTTTATTCATGTTCATAGATAACAGGATGTCACAGAAACACTCAAACAAACTTCGTCTGTCAGAAGCTGTGTGAGATGTTTGTTTGGCCCCACAAATAAAAAAAACTACAAAAGATTCATTTGTTGAACTGTATGACTGTATGATACGCTGCTTTTTTTAAGAAATGCATTGTAGTGTAAGTGTAGAGTAAGTTAAACCAGTGGCTCAACTTGCCCCTGGCGTGGTGGCTCATCTTACCCCACCACCACCCTGCTGACAGAACTGCTTCACACCACTGTTAAGGTTTGCTTCAGTGCTTTTCTTCAGATACTACATCACAGCTTATGAGCACCAACTACAGTGTAATTTATCTGAATACATTAAAGGGGATGGAAAAACAGTTTATTATATTTTATTTGATATTTTATTATTATAAGAAACTAGAACTGCCATTTAAACACTGATGAACATTTTAAAACTCAGTACAAAAACTGCAATTTTTGCAAGAAAATGTGGAGTAACGTTATTATATGTTGTTAAATTCTCAGTTAGATTAATGAATGTCTGTCTTCACATGACTTGTTTTTGCTGAATTGGCTAATTAATATGTGGATTTGAGGTGTTTCAATCCAGAAGGCATTATAGACCAGTTCCTAATCTTCTGTGATTACATGTGGGTGGTGGCCTTTATACATTCAAGAAAAATTAATGCTACATTGTGATTAATATCAGCTTTTATACAGAAATAAAAATGTTTTCCATTAATATTCCATTACTATTACAAATACAGACTTTTGGAATGAAATTCTTCATTTGAATCAAAATGATCTGGTCAGAGACAGATGGCAGTAAAACAGACACTACATGAATACATTACGGTGTTGAATTTCTGTGTAAACTCACTCTCAGACCCCTGAACGAGTGTTTGGAGCAAAGACTGAATGGTTTTATAGTGTATTTAGATTTGCATGTTTTAGGCTTGTATTCATTTGTGTTAATGCTCTGAATAATTACTGTTATTTTGTCTTTGTATAGAACAGAAGAAAACTGTAGCCAGGATCATTTAAATATTTCTAGACCTTTGGATTTTGTATGTACAATACCAAACTTTATACACACACGTTCTCCTCATGCTGTGCAGGAATGCTGAATGAATCAGTTTATTATCAGCAGTACTGATTATGCTGAGAATTACATTTTTTAGATTTAGACCAAGAAATTCACATCTTTTGTAAGAAAGAGGAATGACATATAAAGTAGAGAGCACTGAAAAACTGGAGGGCACTTTGTGTTTTGACCTTTTTTCTTTGGTTCTTGCTTGATCAAGTTTGGACTCTGAGTCTGAGTCTCCAAACTGCTTTCAGTTTCAAAATCATTTTCTTAATTTCTTCCTAGTGACTAATGATCTCACTCATCCTTCACTGTCATTGGACAGATAATGGATCTCTGTGCAGGTGACTCTCAGGGTTGCCATATTGGGGAAAAAACAAATCCTTTCTGTTAATTCATTATAAGTACAGCTGCTAGTTTACATATTTGTGTTTACTTATACTTTTGCAGTTGTAACAAAAGCATTTGAATTTTAAATAAAAGGCAATGCATGCCAAACATATCATTATATCAAATATTTTAATATACATTTAAGACATTCTGGTGTTTATTTATTTAAATGAACATGTGAGATGGAGAACAGGGCTCATTAAAACGTTAGAAATTATGTCTGTTCTGTCTGTGAATTTCCTGTTTGTAATCAGAGTAAAACATCAGTTCAGTGCAGGAGGTCAAAATCATGAATTATAACACAAATCATGTTCACTTCAACAAGATCATTATTTAAAGAAACACTGCATCTTCCATTCTTTAGATAGTTTCTCCCATAGTTGATAACTTCACTGCCTCATAATCATGGGGAAAAATAATAATAATAATAATAATAATAATAATAATAATAACAGTTTCAGAGGTCAGAACCTCTTTCCTATTCCTGAATTCCCGATGAATAATCCTGATTAACTCCTTAAAATCCCAGGCTTTTTACATACTAAGGCTTATTATTCAGTATCTACAGGGACCTCAATGCAAACTGGCTGAGCTATTCTTAGGTTATTGTGTGTGTGTGTGTGTGTGTGTGTGTGTGTGTGTGTGTGTGTGTGTGTGTGTGTGTGTGTGTGTGATAAAACTTTAGTTAACCACAGCCCCTTACTTACCCTGCCCACCCTCCACACACCCATCCCAACCCACCAGAAGAAAACTGCAATGTGAAATGTGAAGTAAACGCTAAACTGGATTGACTTATGAGCCCTTCGTCATTTGTGCCATAGAGCTAAAACCTGGAGAAAAACAGGTTATCTGGCAACCCATGTGTTTTCTTGAGTATTTTGGCTGACGACACGACCTCAGGCTTAGACTGCAAGATGCAAAAGCGTTATGTTTCCTGAAGGATTAAAGGGTCTGTGCTGTTTACCGGGTTACAGAACAGCTATGATCAAACTCCTGCTTTTTCTCTCCGTCAGTGTTTATGGAACATCAGCAGGTGAGTCTGACTATCAAACTGTACCTGTACAGTCTAACAGAGCAGACGGTACTAAACAGTAAATAAGAATGAATGAATAAGACTGAGTTAAATGAACTTAACTTTATTTTAACTGTTTAACTCATTATAATGCTATAAAGCTAATATACAAGAAGATTTTATTGTTTCAGTTGTAGTTTTTTTCAGATGTACTTTTTCAGACAAAGCCTACATGAATCAGTAGGCTAAATCAGGTTCAACTGGTTCTACCTGTTATGAGGTCCATAGCAACCAGCAGCAGCTGTCGTGGCACACATGCGTGTGAATGAGCCTGGCTGGGTGAAAGAAAAGAGTTGGCTAAAATACGTTTCTGCATGTTAGAAGCTGTAGATGCACCAGAAAATATCCAGTTCAGTGTATTTAATGTATATAAGTATTATGTGTAAAAGTGTGTCTAAATTTCTAATTTCTGTTTTGTGGCAAAACAATACAAGGTTTTAGAAAATATGATATAAAGATAAAATTTAAAACGCTGGCCTGCTTGAGACTGCGGAATGATTTCATTCTATTTGCCCTAAAAGAGAGCAGTGTTGACATGTTTGGAACTGGGCCACATCAGGGCTGCACACAGCATTTACTTGTGGCCCACACACTGCGTGGAAGGCACTCAAAAGTAGGCGAGATGCAGATGCTGGAACATATACATTTGCTATCAGATTGTGGCCCACACCAAAACACAGAACAACACTAATAACACATAACAAAATTAACATTTCAGACGTTTCACCCCAGCTTGATCATACATCATTCACATCATCCATGATTTGATTCAGAGAGAGAGAGGGTAGCATGTTAGAGTGCATGCACTCAGAGAGAGAGAGAGAGAGAGAGAGAGAGAGAGAGAGAGGCTTCACCCTCACAGTACACCAACCACCAACACAAAACACACTAACTAAACCCACACCCCGACAAAAACTAAACAGATAAAACATACATATACCTGTAACAAAAGAATAGCATTATTAACAACAATAAAAATACCTTTTTAATAATAATAATAATAATAATAATAATAATAATAATGCCAAGTGTCGATATCGTATGGGTCAAATCTTTAACATCTATACATATTTAATAGTGTTGCTCATCTAGTAAAAATTGTGGTTTATTCTCATGTATATATCTTTTTTCAATCTTTCCATCATGAGCTTTTTTTATATATTTTTCAAAGCTACAGTAATATTGAGTTTTCTGTATTATTACTTTTCTGTCACTCATCCACAGCGTTTACCGAGTCCTAGATGCTGGATTTTCAAAAGTATTTCACTTTTGTAAAACATTTCCAGTGTTTTGCATCTGCTATCAAGCAATGCAAATAAACAAACCACTTTTTTATTTGTTTATTCAATCCAGTTATGTCTGAAGGTCAGTTACAGCATTTTAAAAAATGAATAAAAAGTGGATATAAATCGACCCATTTAGTAAATTCACTGCCGTTACTGTGAAATTCTTGTTTAAAGTTTGAAATGAATATATTCACTTATTTATATTTGTGGTTTCCACAGCCTCTCACTCTCTGAGGTACATCTCCACTGCAATCACACCAGGAACTGATTTCCCTCAGTACACTGTGGTGGGTCTGGTGGATGGAGAACCGCTCATGTACTATGACAGCAACATCAGGAAGATGACTCCAAAGACGGAGTGGCTAGAGAAGAACATGGGAGAAGATTACTGGAACAGTGACAGTGATATTTTTATGGGAGAGCAAAAGTGGAGTTTATCCAACATGGACACAACAATGAAACGACACAATGACACTGAAGGTGAAGATGCACTGCTTTATGATGCATCACTGAAACTCATGTTGCGAAACGCAGGGCATACATTAATGAAAATACCACGTTAGCACTCATACATTAGTACCTACATAGTACTCCACTGAAGACCTAATGGGCAGGGGCGTGGCCAGTGGGGTGAACAAGTTAGACCCACTGATTTTGTCAGAGTGGTCCAAGTCTTTATATTCTGATGACAGTTTCAAGCTAAATTCATTGCCGTTTCAGTGCACGGAAACTTTCATGCACAACTGTTATCACTGTTTTTTTTTCTATTATTATAGTTATTACTGTTATTACATTTATAATAGTCTTCTTAAAATCAAGACTCAAGTATATTTCAGCTTGTACTGGGCTTAAATTCACACCAACCAAACATGAGTTTGATGGTACAGATGTGCCAAAGATCATGAACGATGATGATATTCAGAGTTTATCATACACAGCTTTAATTGGGCCAATATGACATGACTGCACTTTGTCACTGTGTCTGGTTCTTTAACAGGAATCCACACCTGGCAGTGGACGTACGGCTGCGAGCTCCACGGTAACGGCACCACCACAGCATACAGCAAATTCGCTTATGATGGACAGGATTATATCCAGCTGGATTTGGACACTGGCACCTTCACTGGCCACAAAAATTCTTTCTTGCTCAACTGGAAAAAGCGCCGGGTCACTGACTGTAAACACTACCTGGAGATTGAATGTATTGAGGAGTTGAAGATGTTTGTAGACTTCGGCAGATCCACTCTGGAGAGGAAAGGTAAAGTGATCTGTTCCTGGAACTGATCCCTCACACTGCATTCACCTTCATCACTGAAAACCTGCTGGTCACCTTACTCGTTTGCTGATATAGTGGTTTGAAGACCCCGTGTAACCCTGGAGGAGCTGCAGTGCCAGTCTCTTCACAACACCATAAAATAGTCACTTCACATATGAAGTTATAAAGTAACTGGCAGCCAAATGATTGGATATATATAATATATATATATATATATATATATGTGTGTGTATATATATATATATATATATATATATATATATATATATATATATATATATGTATATATATATATATATGTATATGTGTGTGTGTGTGTGTGTGTGTGTGTGTGTGTGTATGTATGTATGTATGTGTGTGTATATATATATATATATATATATATATATATATAATCTTGATATACATATCTTGGTGCTAAGTCATTACATATATTGAAATATATTGACATATATTTTGGATGTGAAGAAATATAGTATGGGTCTGTATGGGCCTGATTCTATGGGTCTTATTGATCTCCCCCCCCCCCCTTTTCCAGTCCCTCCTGAGGCGTCTCTGTTCCAGAAGGACACTTCTTCTCCAGTGGTGTGTCATGCTACAGGTTTCTTCCCCAAAGCAGTGAACATAACCTGGCAGAAGAATGGAGAGGATCTGCATGAGGATGTGGAGCTCAGAGAGACGCTACCCAACCAGGATGGAACCTTCCAGAAGAGGAGCGTTCTGACTGTCTCACCTGAGGAGCTGAATAGGAATCAGTACACCTGTGTCATTCAGCACAGCAGCCTGGAGAAGGAGGTGGTACTAACAGTGTCTGATCACAGAGTCCTGCCAGGTAGGAGAAATCTGATTCTAAAGGGATTCAAAGCTTCTTTTTTGGTGAAAAAAATCACTGCATTTGTGTAGATAAAGGAGGTTTACAGTGATGTAACTCTGGTGTTTCAGGTGGAGGGTTGAATGGTGTCCTTGTTGGCGCAGTCGTGGCTGTTCTGCTCCTCATCTGTGTTGGAGTTTTTATCTGGAAGAAGAAGAAGCAGGTAAGGAGGGAGGAGGCAAACATCCAGTTTGTGAAAAGAAGTGTAGACACTTGAAATTGTTGATAATATTTTTAAATCTGTTGCTTAGGTTTTATGATGTACTGCACAATTTTAATACAGACTAGATTTCAATATTTTATTGAGGATTTTGGGGTGTTGGGCAAGTTTTCCTCCCAGCACATGTTTTTTCTGATGTTTGAACTTATTTGTAGTGGAACTCTCTTTTACGTTCCCCACATAATTTATATCTAACTTATAATAATTGAATGTTCTTTATCTGTCTTTCAAACGTGGGAATGCAGGAAACTGAAAAGAAGCAAACTGAAATGCAGGAAACTGAAAAGAAGCAAACTGAAATGCAGGTATGTGAGCATGTATGATATTTGTGTTGTATTAAAACCTATGGTTTATGTATTTGCATTGTTCAGCTTTGCTTTATCAGGATCAAGTGTTTAAATCTTTGTGTTTTATAGTCGCTGATGGAGACTCATCATTCAACAACTCCACAGTCTTCATGCTGATTTGACAGTGAGTCTTCTCTTTACTCTGTAATGTGAAACTGAATGCTCAGCTGTTTCTATTCTGCATTTTCACTAAACTCTGTCTGTGTAAAGTTGACCTAATGTTAAACCTCAGTTCAGATACAAACAGTCATGCTGTCTTTATGTTTCTCCTTTTAGGACGGAGGCAGAGAGAGAGACACTATAGAAATCAGAGAATGATGGGACGCGTGAAGAGATCAGTAACACAGCACTTTATTACACAAATGTTCTCCCTTTCATATGAAACCTTTATTGCGATCAAAGCTTACAGTCCAGTCTGTACTGTTCTGATGTTAATCATGCTGCACTGAACAGCTTTTTATTTTGAAACTGTTTTATTTCAGTTCAATTAGGGTTTGAAGCTTTATATTTGAATTAGGGCTTGATAGGTTGCCATGGTTACAGAGCACAACATCTAAAAGTCAGTCATCAGACTCATCCCAAAGCTAAAAATGCAGCCACATTTCTCAGCTGTCTTGATTGTGTGAGACTGAGTACTGAGAGCACTGAAGAGAGGCCTTCATATATCAGCACTGAAAAGACGGCTCCCACCTCAGCTGCACTGCTGGCTTTGAGACTTATCTACTGTTTAGATCAGTCTCCACACTCAGAACTGGAGCTTCTCATCACTATTAACTACCAGATATCACAGCTCATCAGGAACTGCATATTTACTCAGCTACAGTAATTACTGCAGACACACTCAACATGGTGGAGATGCAGGACCAAAACTACATTAGATAAAATAAAGCTTTAGGTTGATTGTATTCAGCTCAGTACTCGGTACTGAATTTACTGTATTATTTATCAAATATATTTATATTTTTAGATGTAAATAATAGTAATAAACTTTATTTATATAGCACTGAAATGAAAATAAGAGTGGCCCGAGGACAGACCCCTGGGGTAAAACAAAGCAGATGTCATGTTTTTCTGATACAAACATAACAAGTACTGTCTGTCTGTCAGATATGTGTAAAAGCACTTAAGTCGAATCCAGTTTTCAAGTCCAGATTTTTCAAGTCCAGAGTCTTTTCTATTTGTTTATTGATGGTAGAACTGAAAATTGGACATTCAGTTTTGAATATTTAAAGAAAACAAGCTAAAGAATAGAGTCTGCTTAATTGTATTATGTTGTTCAAAGGCACAATATTGTAAAAACTGCCTTTTTCTTGTATTTTTGTTGTTCTCTTTTTTAAGAAATAAATGTGAAATCTGCATCTTCTGTAGTTTCCTCTATTTTTATTTGTATAAACCACTCAGGGTCCATATTCACAGATCCCCTCAGGAGTCTGTATAACGTATAAATGAATACAAATTAATAGTAGAAAAACGTTCCAAAGATACAGAGCTGCTGTCTGCTCAGAACATGTGGGCATGTCAGAAACAAAATGATTGACAGTGGTGTCTCCTTGGCAACATAAACAACCCATGACACCGTCAATTGGTGTGGTTCAGCCTTATACATTTGAGCCCCTCATGCCAGGCAGAGGAAAAGACCACTCTACTTGGTGGTCCGATATAATTACATTGTGCAGATCATTTTTGAGAACTTAAGCTACATCTTATGACGAATAGATTTGAATGCTCAGCAGCAAATTAACAAACACTCCAATCTACAGTCATTTGTTGCCAAAATCTGTATATCTCATTCAATATAAATATGTGCATGTGCACTAATGCCCCCTATACCATCATGAATGTTGTCCTTTGCACTGTGTTCTAATAACAAGGCTAGTGGTCTTTAGCATGGAGGACACAGCATCTATGATTTCCAAAAAAGAATTTAAAATTTTGATTTGTCAGACCTCAGGAGACTTTTCTACTGCACCTCAGTTCATTTTAAATGAGCTCAGGCCCAGAGAAGGTGGCAGCATTTCTGGACCCTGTTTATATTTGGTTTCTTCTTTGCATGGTAGAGTTTTAACTTGCATTTGTGGATGCAGTGATGAACTGTGTTCACAGACAGTGGTTTTCAGAAGTGTTTCTGAGCCCATGCAGTGATTTCCACTACAGAATCATTTCTGTTTTTAATGCAGTGCCGCCTGAGGGCCCGAAGATCACGGCCACCCGATATTGGCTTTCTGCCTTGTCCCTTGTATACAGAAATTTCTCCAGATTCTCTGAATCTTTTAATGATATTATGTACTGTAGACGATAATCCCCAAGTTCTTTGCTATTTTATATTGAGAAACATTAAGGTTTAATCCATCACTGTAGAACATACAGAACCCCACAGACAGAACCTTGGATTGTATCTATGGGCTCAACACTTTCAGTATTCATAGATCAAATCATACATTTCACTCTGAAAAACCAAATGTTTTATAGTCACAGAGATCTTGAGGATTATAAGCACACTGAGCTGGACTAACTGCTTTTCAAAATACACTGAAAAGTACTTAATCTAAAAAAATGAAATTTAAACACACATTGTGGACTTTTAACTGATTTGGACTTTAGACTGAAATCCTTTTACTTTCAGTGACCGTATCGCTTGCAGGCAAGTTAACATAACAGCATTGAGTCTTAAAGAGGTGAATACAGTAAATAGAATAGGAGTCTGGATACTTTCAGAACTACAGAGCATCTCCTGCCTTTCAAATGAGAAGAGACACTCTAGATCAATATCTAGACCCCAGCCTAGTTTTAGCTGAATAAGAGCTGTTCACTTTAATTTCTGCTGCTGTCAGACCGGTTTGGTACCAAAGTCACATGATTTACAGTCAGTGAGGACCTGATGAACAGATACTCTCCTACATTATCACAGTGTGTATTATGTAAAATTATTACATTATGAGTTGCTACACGTGTTTATCACCATCTCTGAACAGCTTCTGTAGAAACATTTTAACCAGCAAACCTCACATTTACTGATACCATCTCACAACTTCCCAGACCCAAACACCGTCTGTATAGGTTGTGTACATTTAAATAGCTGCGCTAACACGATCTCCATCTCAGTCAAAACTACAGTGAGATTTTTATAGATTTTATAGATTCATGTCTTATTTCAGTTAATGTCAAGAATGAAAACCGGACAAAATGAAACTGAATGAATGAATCTGATCTCAGAGCGCCACCTAGTGGTGTCATTTTATGAGAGCTACTCATATTCAGATCAGTGAGTATTTGGGTGGTAATGATCAGCTGGAAACTGATAGACGTGTTTAAATAGCTGGGATGAGTTTACAGTGATGAAGTTAAATGTGAGTAACTCTGTACAGATGACTGTAACTGTTTTAGCTGGTTTAGCTGTAAAAAAAAGAGAACAGTTACTAAACTCACTGTTGGAGTGCAGCCTATAAAAAGGAAAAATGTTTAGTGTTAAGTTTCTCAGAAAAAAGAAATATTACTTTGTAATATAAAAAAAAATGTGAATATTAAGAGCCAGTTCTGAGGAATTAATACTTCAATATATACAGCAGTGATTTAAAGAAAAATCTTATCATGTAGATCTTTAGACGACAAAGAAAGCTTTGTAATTCAGCTCTAATTTATTCATCTGAATTTTAATTATTGAATTAATTTAACATGAGTAGTTTGTTTTGTGATAAAAACAGACCAGTAGAAAGTGAGTTTGCTGGAAAAACAGAAGTTGCCTTTTATTTAATTAGGCATTATGTTTTGTCCAGCAGATGGTGCTGTAGGTCTGACTCAGACTCATATGTTATATATTTATCATAACTGCAGAAGAGAAAATACCATTTATATGAGTATTATTATAGTGCACAATGGAGAAACTCAATATAGTACAAGCTGCAGGTTATAGTGCAGTTACTTCTACTGTATAGTCACTTTATAATAACTGGATTTCTCCTTTACAATGTATGTAGTCAACTCAAGTCCATTTGTTTAAATTTATCCTGCAGCATTAATAAACCTAGTAGCTGTTGTTGTATTGTTTACTATTTTTTTTCAGATAAAAGTGGACAAGCTCGGACACTGTCATCGGCCTGGAGTGCTCTTGATTTTAGATTAACTTCAGATGTCCTCCATCTTTCATTTCGTTGTTTATTCTCTCACTGCTAATATTAATAAATAACTCACCCAAAATATTCAAAGAAACATTTTTTTGTGCAAAAAGCAAACTTGGAGAAAGGCAGCATGTCCAAAGCTAGTTTTCCTCTCAAAACAGCATCTCCTTTTCTCTGTCTTCCACTTTTGGCCCAGAACAGAAGATATCACTGCAGAGGGTGGAAATGTCAGATACTAGGTCTGGAGACATCTAATATACATCAGCTGGCCACTTCATTAAAACCTCATTCTTGTTTCTACACTCATTGTCCATTTAATCAGCTCCACTGACCATAAAGGAGGACTTTGTAGTTCTACAGTTACAGACTGTAGTCCATTTATTTCAATAATGTGTAAATTTATAAATTAAGCAATGTAGTAATTACTCCAACTTAAAAGCTTGAGTTTCAGCAACAGTGTAGTTTGTGTAATCACTCATCAGACATGAGCCAATCACCAAAAACACGTTAGTGTAAGGTGCTAAGGTGCTAACTGTTCACTGATATCAATATTGGGTTTTCCTATTTTCAGCCTCCCAACACTGCAGTACTTCTACACTGCAGTTACACCAGGAATAAACTTCCCAGAGTTCACTGCTTGATGCAGAGCAGATTGTGTACTATGACAGTAACATCAGGAAGGTGATCCCAAAGACAGACTGGATGGAGAAGAGCGATGCTGATGAACCAGAACACTGGAAAAGAGACACAGAATCTGCAGAGTGAATCACTGTTTATCTGAACTGAACTGAATTATGAAGTATTTCCACTCAGTTACGTGGTTTTCTTTCAAAATAAGGCAGTTTGGTTGATCCACCTTAATTTACCTAAACTGGCTAAACTTAATGTAGTATCACATTTTCAACTGAACTCATTAAAGTTTATTGAACTTGATTTACTAGTGTTGCTTTAACTTGCATTGGTCCAACTTGTCTTACTAGAGTTGGTTTAAAAATGGACATTGTAGTGCCCAGTCAGTTTAGAACCACACTCAGCTAGCTGATTATCCAAAATATGGGTTTTCTCCTAAGAGGAAAGACAGCACGGAGATGGTAGATGGAGAAGTAAAACAAGTACCCAACATACAAAGAGATGGAGCCAGGAGCCAATAAAATCTCTGAATACAAGACATAATCAGAAACATTCTTCTCACTGAAGTAGTCAAGTAATGTGGTGTTTATCCTATTTTATGTAAAACAGACTTAATTTTTTCAGGTATGCACCATATAGCAGGTGGAAATCTGACAACAATTCATTCTCTTTGTTTGACTTGATTGACTTTGGTTGATTTAAAGCTTGGTTGATGTTTGGTTCATGTTCTCTTAACGCTCATACATTAAATACTCTCTAGTATTCAGATACTGTCTAACACAGTGGGAAACACGTCTCTGTCCCAAATTCTAAATGTGTTTCTATTTACTAAAAATAACTGAGTTGGTCAGAGAAAACATTAAAAGTAATTATTTGTATTTTTGTCAGTTCAATAAACATTCTAGATAATTAACAAATCACAGATTCATATTTTTATTGCATTTTACAAAATGTCCCACCTTTTCCAACTTTTGTTTAACCTATAAGTTTGAGTCAGACCTACAGCGCCAACTGCTGGACAAAATCACATAAGACAACAAAGATAACAAAGATAACAAAGTCACTTTCTGTTTTTATCACACAACAAACTGCTGTGTTCAATTAATTCAGTAATTTATATTCAAATTAAACTACCTGATTATTGGTGGTCTGTATGTCTGAAATAGTGCTGCGAAGTCAAACCTCCCTATTTTTCAGCTTCTTAGTGCAAAAGCTTATTAATAAATGACTGACAGACAGAAACACTGCTGTCACAGATCAGGTACATTAATTAGAGTCTGATTTCATGGGTTTTACTGTGTCAGTGTTTGACCAGCTAAACAAAATACGTGATATTGGAAATAGACCTGAATAAAACAGGCAAATATACTAAGCTGCATTTGTGAAAGTTCATAGATGCTGATCTCTTCTTTTGAAAATAAACTTCCAAAGTCCAAAAATCACTTACTTTCATGTCTACACAAACTACTACACACTAAATCAGGACTGTGACATTTCACGGATCAGCCTGGTCAGTCCTGGGTCATTCAGCAGAGTGGTCAGCTTTTAAAGCGGTAAATAATAAATCTCTGCAGTGTGATATTTGGGGATTTCTGTGTGGAGAGTGACACACTGACTGCAGGTGTACATTACTGCATTACGGAGCTCCAGTATAACTTCACTGCAGTCAGGACCCGGTTAACTTACTCAGGCTGCAGCAGCTACAGCAGAGATATGAGAGCCAACCCTGCACTTCAGTTTCATTTCAACGCCCTCTTCTAACTCCGCTTAGAAATTCTTCCTTATCTCCTATTGGCCAGAGCTCCAGACTCCCTAATTCTCATTGGTCAGATTTCTACTGTGTGTAAGCCCCCCCCACCCCCCGCTGCTCCTGCTGAGTCTCCAGAGCAGAAAGATCTCTCAGTGGTTGAAGACATTGAGGAGGTAATTTCTCTCATTATGGTTCCAGTCCGCAGTGAGAGACGGGACACATCATGAAGTCCCTGCTGCTCCTCATCTTCACTCTTCATCTCGCCTCAGCAGGTCAGTCCAAAGGCTAAAGTTGAGTTTGAACAGTTTCCCTGCTTGGAAATGACACTCAAACTCATGTTTATTATATATAGAAAATCTGGGTTCTATTCTGTACATAGGACAGATAATAGATTACAGAGTATGTTAACACAGACTGGGCTTTGAAGTAGGAAAGTCAGAGCTGGGAATTGTGGCATTTTTCACATCTGTCACAAAATGGAAAAACACAGAGGACTCTGAAGCTTTTTTCTGTGTGTGTGGGTGTGTGTCTGTGTGTGTGTGTGTGTGTGTGTGTGTGTGTGTGTGTGTGTGTGTGTTCTTCAATTTAAAGTAATCTCATTTAAAAAGCAGAGAAGCTGTTCTTACGATGGTCGGCATGACAACAGTCGTAATTATTATTAGTGCTTTATATCATTGATGAGCTTCTATGTCAGACATCACAGTGCAGTGTTTGGAGACATAGCTTTATCACATGATTCTTTCACTGCCACAGAAAAACGTTTATTTTAGTGATGGTCAGGGCTGTGAATCAAATGACGGACAGTCCAGTCTCTGTAGAAGAGGTCAGGGTCATATGGAGATCTAAAACACCTCAGGTGTGGCTTTATTACTGGACAGATATCAGCCCAATTTGGATCTAAGTGAATGTAGAGTTTCTCTCAGATGGTCGTCTCCTGACCAAACAGCTCACTTCCGATGGCTCGAGTTTGAAGGCAAAAGCTGGGGGCCTGATTTTCGCTCACTGACTGACTGACAGCTTTGTTGAAATGGGCATGCATGAAGAGTGTAGCTAGCCCGGTAATGCACCCTAAGCCAGGGTTTCTCAACCTGTAGGCTGCAGACCACCAGTGGGCCATGAAGCACGATCAAGTGGTCTGCGAATCAGGGGGAAGCTGTAGTTCCTACTGGGCCAGTAACGTCACTTTAAGTCATAAAAAGTGGAAAAAGCTTAACTTAAGCTATAACCTATATAACTATTAATACAGACATACAAATAAAACTCCACAGTAACAGGGCTGCTTAGATGTCATCAATTTGAGACAACGCAGCCGCGGGCGCGCCAGAGTTGAAGCTCCTTAGATGCTTTCACCCTAGTTTTTTCTGAAATCTCTGAATCTTTTAATGATATAATGTACTGTAGATGGTAAAACCCCCAAGTTCTTTGCTATTTTACATTGAAAAATGTTAGTTTTATCTTGAACCCCTCCACATCTTTACGTCTGAAAGACTCGAGTCTTTCTGAGATGCTCTTTTTATACCGAATCATGTTACTGACCTGTTGACAGCTTAATTAGTTGTCAGATGTTCCATTAGGTGTTTTTTAGCATTACACAACTTGTTTACTTGTCTTTTGTTGCCCTGTCACAACTTTTTTTTTTTTAAATGTGTTGCTTGCATCAACTCCAAATTTTTTTTTTTGAAAATAGCTTAGGGTGCATGTACCCATTTTTGTTTTCCTCCCACAGTCCAACGACAAGCAGTCAGCCCAATTGGACATGCTAATTTGGCCCTGGATGTGAATGTGTGTGATTGAATATGTTTGTGTGACTGCCCTGTGATGGACAGGTGACCTGTCCAGGGTGTTTCCTGCCTTCTACTCAGTAACTACTAGGATAGGCTCCAGCTCCCCCCTGTGACCCTGAAGGATAAGCAGTTTAGAAAATGTGTATTTAAATGATTTGCACATCATTTGTATTGTTTTTATTTACATTTTGTAAATTTTATTTACATATTACATTTTGATCCTGAACCTACAAGTGTGTGGTGTGGGGTTTGAGGGGTGTCATGTACTGACAGCTGTGTCCCCCTCACTTTTAAAATGACTGCTATGCTCCTAGCGTTATTTGCCAGGCCAGTTCTGAAACAGGTGAGAACAGACTGGGACATTTTCATAGGAATATACAGCATCAGTGACTGGCTGCATTAACAAGTGAATAGAGGATGTGACCTCCTTCAAGACCATCACCACACAGGCAAACCAGAAGCCGTGAATGACTGCAGAGGACGCTTTCTAGACACCAGAGACGCACGGCGTAAGGGGCAGGGCATTCAAGTCATCGCTGACTACAAAGTGACATCACATGCCTGTGATGGCGATGCCTCGCTCCCAGACACACTGAACGATTTCTGCGCTAGAGGAAGACCACCCCCCCGCCCACAGTAGACATTAGGACTGCTCTTTCCAGAGTTAGAACCCTTGGAAGACTGCTGGTCCAGACAATGTATCTGGCCAGGTGCTCATTTTTTTGCTGACCAGGCAGTTGTTCTAGAGTGCCTTAAAACAACCACCATCGTCCCTGTGATGAAACAATCGACTGTGTTCTGCCTCCGTGACCACCAACCCATATTGCTCACTCCAGTCATCATGAAGTCATGAAACACATAAAGAGTAGTCTTCCTTCCACACTGGATCCACTTCAGTTCATGTTTCACCCACTGGTCCACAGGGGACGCAGTATGCTCTGCCACTGATCTCTCACTGACCCACCTGGACAGAAAAGACAGTTATGCTGTTCACAGCATTCTGCACAATCATACGACAGCAACGTATTGGAAACCTGAGCTTACTGGGCCTGAACACATCCCGTCGCAGTTGGATCCTGGACTTTCTGAATGGGAGACTTCAGCCTGTCACAATCGGCAAGAACACCTCCAGCACCACCACATTGAACACCAGTGCTTCCCAGGGCGGTGGGCTCAGTCCCCTGCTGTTCACACTGCTGACTCATGACTGCTGCAAAGCAGAGCTCAAATCTCACCATCAAGTTTGTTGATGACACTAAAGTGGTGGATCTTATCAGCCACAGTAACAAGTCAGCATACAGGGAGGAGGTGGAGCGGCTGGCAGACTCGTGCAGAGCCAACAATATATCTCAATGTTGATAAGATGAAAGAGATAATTGTTGACTTCAGAAGGAAGTCAATAGTTTAACTGTGGAGATGTCAAAAACTCACTTTGATGTGCTGGGGCTGAATCTGCTGTTCCACATGGGCGACAAGTAACTTAACCATTCGGCCAAACGACCCACTACAAAACACACGTTCAGAGACCTTAAAATGTCCCCATAACTCAGCTTTAATGGGAATTTAACTACAAAACACAGGTTCTTTTATATGGTTTTGTAGCCATTATAAAAAAGCTGTCGAGGTAATGCTGACAGTTTTTTAGCCCTTCAGTGCACAACAATGTGTGTGCAGTACTGATTTAAGTAGCTGTTAGTATTTGACTTAAAAGGGGGGTTTAAAGAGAGGGTTAGATTTCTGTTTACACATCCCAAAAAATGCCTGCACTCACATTACATCCAGCCAGAGACACATTATTTTAATAGTAATTTATTGCTTGATATCTGACAGCTTTATCAAACATCGCATTTTATGTCAATATCATGCAGCCCTCATCATCAGAGTGTCTTTACCATCTACACCTCCTACCACAACCGTTGCATCCGCAAGGCCCCCAGCACTGTGGACGACCCCTCCCACCCATGGACTCTTCACGCTGCGGCCATCTGGCAGAAGGTATTGGAGTATCTGTTCCACCACCTCTAGACTTCATAGTGGCTTCTTCCTGGACTAATGTAGACCCTCCCCAACATCCACCGTAGACTGATCACCCCTTTACCATCACTGCACACCTCAGTCTTCATGTACTGTTTACAGTGATAATGTTTGCACTAGTTCCTTCATCACTAATATGCTACCTGATGTCATCCATGCATATATATATGCATGTGTGTATGTACATATATGATACCTAATTGCATGTACTGTTTGTTGTCCTGTCTAGTGTTTATTGTCTTGTGTATTTAATGGGCTGTATATTTATTATCTGGTGTATTTATTATGTATTCTGCACTGGTTTCACCCTGTCGTGTATCTGCACTCTGTGTAGTCCTGTGTAACGTGCTGCTGTTGTGTGTTGCACCTGTTGGCCTGAAAAACGACATTTGGTTCCAATGTATACAAGTTTTATTGAGAAATGACAATAAAGACCACTTGACATGATTTGACTTGACTTGTTATTAACCCAAAGTTGCAGAGGAGAGAATGTGCGGTCTGGCACTCCAGCAGAACTATGCTTGACTGTTCTGGTTTGTCAATTTTTTCTCACGACCCCACAAACAAGCAGTTGATCACTCTCCCTCAGAGGAAAGGAATGTGTTAGGGAATGTGGAAGAGCAATAGGAAAGCAACAGTTACAAAATACTAAGCTGGCTTTGCTCATTTATTAACCACATTCTAAACCTCATATTGATCACTGATAAAAACTACAAAACCCAAAATGACCAGAGTGTCATAAATAAATGAAATGTTTACCTTGACTGTTGCTCTCTCTTCGTAGACTGCGAGATCATGAATGTGGTGACAGTTAACTTCATTGGTTAACATTTTTTGGGGCAAAACATGCCTACATGAGTGCTGTGTGGGGTGTTGCTGCAGCTTGGCTGTCTTATATGGGGTAGGTAGGTAGGTAGGTAGGTAGGTAGGTCTATTTCCATTGTTAACATTACATATAAAAACTCAGACTAGTGTAGATTCAGTGCTTATTTTTGACAGTAAATGAAATGGCTATATTTGCATTGTAAAGAAATCTTTTTCTACAGTTTGTGGACCCAAAGTCCCAGTTTATGCACCTCGGAACATTCAAAAATATTCTTCCAAAAAAAACAAACAAATCAACACCTAAATACACATTTATAGTGATTAGTATGCTTCCATCATGGTGCTGCAAAGTCCTCATGCAACCGATGCTATGAAAAAGAAACCTTACGGCCAAACAAGCCCAACTGTGGCCCAGGGCCTGTAACTTAGGATGATCTATGGCCAGCATGATAGGAAAAAAGGTACTAAACTGCCACTGTGGTGGTGAGGTACCCTGTATTCTGTACACCCTGTATTGACTCCAGCCTTTTTTATTATTTGTTCTGTTTTAAAATGTTTATGAAATGGTACAAATACACACCTTTTTCCTGGGAAATTGATTTAAGGTACACAGGTGGAAATGAAGGACCGTGTCGAATCTTGTCATATCTGGTGGCATGTTTACATTGGCTCGTGTTCAGGAAATGTCTCAGAGTATGAGTGGTGATATCAGATTACCCTCTTATCTCCAACGATCTTACTCACTGGAACAGATCTTAGATCCATATCACTGTTTGTACCATGATGAACAAAAATGTACCTGAACTGTACCTTTTATTCTGACAGTACAGTGAGTGAGTCTTTCTTAATTAGGTTAACAGCAGTCAGTCTTCTGCCTTCTTAAAAATATAGCCAGAGTCAAAATGTTTGGTGTCCCAATAAGACTTTTATCTCCAGTGGGATGGACGACTGCAATGGTCTTTTAACTTGACCTCCCAGCTGCATCTCATTCAGAACACAGTTGCTATAGTTTTAACTGGGATACATAGATACAGGTCAGCTAGTAGAGTCCAAACTACACATGGTGAAGCAGCATTTAACTGTTATGCTGCTACAACTGGAACAAACTGCCTGAAGATCTTAGATGTGCCTCTAATGTAGTGATTTTTAAACCCAGATTAAAAACGTTTCTCTTTTCATGTGCCTCCGACTGGGTTCAGTGACTTGCACTGTACCTTTGTTTTAATTCCCTTTTATGTTTCTACCCCACTCTTACTGTACTTTACCTTCAATAAGCTCATTTTAATATTGCTTACTTTATTCTATGTTATATATTTTGTACTTTCTTTTAATTATGTTTTTGTAACCATCTGTTGTCACAAATGTTTGCACCTTTCTGAGGTGCTAGATGTCAGGATGTCATCAGCTGTATTATTTAGTGTTGTTTATGCTTTCATTTTTCTGTGTTTGCATGAAGCACTTTGGATTGCCGTTGTGTGTGAAAGGTGCTGTACAAACAAACCTGCCTGGCCTTGCCTTGCCTTGCTTTGCCAAGTCAGTGGCATTAAGTCTCTGACATTTGTGTCTGTTAAGCAAGTTTGAGCTAGAAGGAGAGTGATGTGGTTTGTGTAGGTATTGGAGAAAAAAACATGCTGAGAAAGTAATAAGAAAATAATAATAAGAAAGTTGTTCAATCTTATTTTAATGATTCATTATGTTAAAGCAGGGGTAGTAAACTCATATAAACTCATTTATTTATATATATATATATATATATATATATATATATATATATATATATATATACTTTTTTTTAGTTTTTATAAAATCTCATGGATTGAGATTTTATCGAAAATGTGCAGGTTACATGGATCCATTCCACCAATCTTGCTAATCTTCTTCTTGTAGCGTTTTTCTGGAGACACATCTAAAGTGTCCACATATCTTTTCATGTTTTTCGTGGTCATTTCTGATTTATTTTGCTATTTCGCTTTTGGTCTTTATCCACCTGCAGGGTTGTAGCTGCAGTGACAGTGATGAGAACCTCTATCAGAGCACAGTCAGAGTTGCCTATCAACGTGGTCTTCTTAATGACACAATTCAATACTATGAATAGGTCTGGATGACAAGAATGTTCCAGGTATAACAACAGATCCTGTGCTTATTTGAATTAGCCTCACTTAATTTAGCCAAACATTATTTCAGCTAAAAAAAAAAATCACAAGGACCCTAAAAATATATTATTTAAAACATTTACAGAAGTTTAGTTTGTTTTAGGCAGGTGAATAACACATACGACAAATAATACTTATTTAATACTTCAACTTAAACTAGGATAAAATGCTTGGAATTAATAATATAGATTAACCCTTGTGTGGTGTTGATGTGTGTGTTACTCAGTGGTCTGCTGGACCCACCACATTATTGTTTTTAAATCAATACAGCCATAACAATTTATGTAAAAATACCTGATGTTTAAAATATCACAGGTGTCCAGCATAGAGTTCTCCTTTAGCAGCTGTAGCCAGTCAGCAGCCTGTCCATGTTGTCCAACCTCACACACACACACACACATACACACACACACACACATATATATACAAACACATACACACACACACACACTAACAGCAGGCCATGTAGGATGAGAACAGAGCGAAGAACACAGCACCTCCACACTTTTATTCCCTGCAGGTTCAGCACAACCCCACATGTCTAATATAGATGTGTTGGGGGTGAACAGTGTGAAAAATGGGTTATTTTATATGTTGGATATGTTTATATGAACTGGAGTAATAATGTATAACTATAAATATGCCTTTCCTTAAGAAAATGCACAGTGATTGTGCTGCTTAAGCAATTGTTAGACGGTCACTGGCTAACTGTTATTGTGGTATTTAAGGTGGTTGCAAAGGTGTTGATAAGTGGTTGCTATGGTATTCCATGTGGTTGCTAAGGAGTTTGGGGACCTGCCCTGAGAGAGGACATGTCGTTTGGTGACTGTCAGGCAAAGAAAATAATAATGCTTGGGTAGGGGCAAAAATGAAAGGGATTCTGTGGGAGAAAAGATGGATGAAAAACATGACGATGAGTGCAGGTCAGAACAGCATTGAATTCATGCTCTGAGATAGTATATTTTTGCAGAAGTACAGTAGATGTGAGTGTGCCATAAAAAATGAAAGGGATCCTATGGTGGAAAAAAGGGGTGAAATCGAGCGTTGCGGGTGGAGGAGTGCACGTTTCCTTTGTATCTTGAAAACTGCAGGAGAAAAAGGCCGGACAAAAAAGGGTGGAATAATATAACATATTTTGGGTGAACAAACTTTTGCACTCCATTCATTACTGTGTGAAAGTTAATGAAGATTGTACAAAAGTCATACATTCAGACGTGCTACTAGGATGTCACCTTTGGGTGGGCATTTGAATTATTTGGATGCGCAACAACAAAAATGTAGCTTTTCCTAAACAGGGTATGAAAAGAAGGACATAAGTTAATTTTGAGAAAGGGGGCGTGGACAAAAGGGATCCAATCACTGCTTCTGATTTTTGTAGGGTGTCTGTTTTGAATGAGCTGGCCTAGAGCTGGCTAGTTAGCTGGCTACTGACTAAACCAGTGGCCACCAAGTGAGCTGGTAACACACAGCTTGAAAAAGGTGAAAACTCAAGAGTCAAACTCTGCATGACTACTAATATAACTTATAAAAGGCATGTTTTACCTGGATTGTTGAGAGCAGATCACTTAACCATGTCTGTACCACAGGTGTGAAGAAGTGTTGTGTATTAATATGTACTAATATTTTTATTTTACCCTGCATTAACCTCAATTAAAATCTTTATGCTGTTAAATACTTATGTATACATTTCTTATTTTTATATCTTCTATATTAGTTTACTTTTCTTAACAACAACTTACAATAGCCGAACAGCTTCTGAACCTTTTTAATACAGCTACGCATTTTAAATTAAACCCATACTGGTTTATATTGGGCTTTTTAATCATATTGTGTTTTTTAAAATGCAAATATATTTCTAATGTCAAATCTTATTAGGCCCCAACTGTATATTATAATATAAAACATTATATAGTACATTCTGTATGCAGCAGTGTATTGAACTGTGTTGAGGTGGAACTGTATTGCTGTAAACCCATTGAGCCTCTGACATCAGACGGCTTGTCCAATAGAACTGATTAAGCCACACTAAGAACTTCTCGCATTACAAGCAGCACTTTTCACCTGTTCAAACTCACAGGAGCAAGAACCAGTGCAAAGTCTTTGGGAGCTCTGTTTACACCATGATGATTTGTACAGTGAAACGATGAAATCACAAACCTGCCCAAAACCTCATAACTCAATTTTTGTTTCAGTTTTTGACATAATTCGAAAATACCTACTGTCCTTTACATTATGTGTAAATTTCATGAAGAATGGACCAAAAGAAATGGCCCAAAAAAAGTCTGGCTCCATTGACTTACATTGAAAGTGAAGTTTTTCCCATCTACTGTAAAGTTACCATTTTGGAGATACGAGTTTTTGGTCCGACAGCAGTGATACGTTGAAATAATATAAGGACAAAATTTGTGTTTATTGCTTCCGTTGTCTTTTCATTTGGACGTCACAGTGATCAGTTCAGGAACACACTGTAAAAAAGTAGTGCATTAACTTCAAAAGTTAGTTACCATGGTACCTTAAAATTTGAGTTACTTAAATTCTATCAGCATGTTAACAGCTCTTTATCTTTACAGCCAGTCACGCTCTGGACTACTTCCTCACCGGCATCACACGAGGAATCAGCCTCCCAGAGTTCACTGCTGTTGCTCAGGTGGATGGACTTCAAAGCGGGTATTATGACAGTAACAGCAGGAAAGTGACCCTAACGGGTGAGTGGCTGAAGGACAATAAGGATGAACAGCACTGGGACGAGATTAGAGAGAAGTCACTTCGTTTTCAGGAGGACCTCAAAATCTTTATAGATGAAACAATGCAGCTCTTCAATCACACTGAAGGTATGTGTCTATGTTTATGTATGTGTGTGCAGAAACAGCACTGTACAAAAGTCAGAGACCCTTTCGTTTAAATAATTTCCAGTCGAAACAGCCATAAAGTACAAGCTGTTTACCTCAGCTGCCTCACACACTTCTCTCTCATATGCATGTAAAATGGCTGAAGGAGATATATCTAAGGAGATCAGATATGAGGGAGAAAGTCAAAGGAAAGTGAAAAACTGGAAAACTGATCAAAAGCTACAGAGAAAATGGAACTCAATAACAACCACCTGGAAGACCTGGTAGACACCAAAACTGCCCCCATCAGATTAACAGCACTTAAAGCTTTCATCTTTGAGAGAGAAGAGAAAATCAAGCTGCTTCAGATCTGAAAACATCCACAGGTGTTTCTGTCCATCCTTCCACTGTGAGAAGACGACTCAGTACTATGAGTCTGAAAGGATGTGTAGCTGATCAAGAAGAACCTCACTGAGAAAAGGAGACATCAGAACACAGAACCTGGATATCTGAGATGTGGAGTGATGTTTTATGGACTGATGAGTCTAAATTTGGATGTAAGAGTTGGTCGTATGTATGACGATGAATGATTCATCTAACTTTATCTAGAACCATCAGTCAGTTAGTTTGGGATTGCCTGGATTATGAGAAGCAGAAAAAGCAAAACCAGCTTCTAAGACTGAACTTTGGAGGTGGGTCTGCAGATTCTTTGAGAAACTGAAAGTGAGTCTCCTCAGCCGTAACAAAAGTTAAAGAGTGACGCTCTGAATACTGAAACATTTGATATTATATTTAGTTGTTGAGGCTTATGAGTAAATATATAAATATATTAAATATATTAAATAAAATATATGTGTGTTTTTTTCCGATGCTGCAAAATAAATAACTTGCACTTACTGGCTGTTTTGGCTGAAAATACAAAACATTTGTGTAGTACTGTATGTATAAGCAACTGTAAATTCCTTCCTGATTTTCAATAACTCTTTCATTTCCTTCCTCAACATCCTCATATTTACTCAAATTGTCAATATTGGGCGTTTTTCCATTGAACAAGTGATCCTTCGCATCTAAAGCTATATATTCTTCTGAACATGTACTAAATCAGAGGAATTATAAACCAACTGTATGTTGAGTGAAATCACATTTAACAGTTTTGGGCCATACTGCTCTGGTCAGGCCCCTACATTGAGGCTTACTGCCCATTAAATAGATGTCCAGTTTTAGAAAAATCCTACGTAAGAATCCTATGTAATGTGTTTGATATTCTATTGTTTATTGGCTCTCAGCTCCAATTTACAGCGCAGTTATGACAGAAAATGGACAAACACTCTGTAAAAAGAGTAAGACAAGGCTGCCCACTATCGCCACACCTGTTCAACCTGTATGCAGAACATATAATGAGAGAAGCAGAACTAGAGGAAGATGATCGAGGACTCAGGATTAATGAAAGAAAGATCAATAACCTTCGATATAATGATACAACACTCATAGTGGACACTCTGGGAGACCCGGAGGCCCTTATAAAAAAGGTTAGGGAAAGAACAAATTGAAAAGATGAAACTTCAGCTCAATATGAAAAAGACTAAGGTTATGATGACAAGAAAGACAGCTAACTTTACCAACAACAAACAAAAAAAACAAACATTTGGATCCTTGACCAAGTAAAGCCTCACCTCTCACTCGAAGCCCACATAACCAAAAGAGGCTCTTATTTTGTCAAAAGAGATATATCTTGGTATAACTGTAATGCTAGAACTGAAAAAGGGATTATTTACAGCCAAGTAAATTAATTGATTCATTTGATTATGAATTAACTTGATTATTTATTCTGGTGTCTTTTTGCTTAGTGAGCTGAGGAAAGTTTGGGAAGTGATGAAATAAAGATGTTTGAAACATTAAAACATTTGAGTAAAAGGCGATCATTTCATTAAGCTGAACATAAAAATAGGAAACCTTTTAAGGAGGTTGATTCCAATACTGGTCATTTTGGCACCCTTTTATGCATTTGTATAGATTTTTTGGGTCATGCATTCTAGGGTTAAATAGAGAGCTTTTGATCATGAACTGACTGTTTAAGGTTCTGCCACAGCATCTCAATGGGGTTCAAGTCAGGACTTTGATTAGTCCACAACCTTAATTTTGTTTCTCTCAACCCACTCTGAGGTTGATCTGCTCTTGTGCTTTGGAGAGTTGTCTTGCCTCATAACTCAGGTGCACTTGAGCTTTGAATCATTGGCTTTGCCCTGCAGGATTTTCTGGTAGAGAGCAGAATTACTTGTTCTGTTAGTTATGTCACCCACAGGTCTTTAGGCAGCAAATCACACCATCACACTACCACCACCATGTTTCACTGCTGGTATGTTTTTTACTGAGGAATGCTATGGTAGTTTTACGTTAATTTTAGATGTAATGGGACTCCTGTCTTTCAGAAAGTTCTACGTTCCACAGAAAATTGTTCTGAAAGGCTTGGCGGTCTATAAGGTGTTTTTGGCAAATATAGGTTGAGACTTTATGTTTTTCTTGGTTAGCAGTGGCTTTTGCCCTGCAGCTTTTCTATGGATACCATTTTGTCCAGTTTCTTTCTAATGGTGGAATGAACGTTGACCTTACCCGAGGTGAGCAAGGTCTAAGGTTCTTTAGATGTTCATCTGGGCTCTTTTGTGACCTCCTGGATGAGTTGTCGCTGTGCTCTTGGAGGAGTTTTGGTGGGCCATTGGGAAATAAAATGATATAGGGAAATTGGGATACAATGGTACAGCCAAATAATGAATGAGAAAAACTTCTGATGATTTGAATTAATAATGTACATGTATTTGGCGGTGCTAGATAGCATATGACTCTATAATTTTTTCCAAACTGATATATTTTCCAAACTGATATATTTCTTTTGATTGCAGCATAATGTGCTGCACATTGAGTCTTTTTATCCTGCATCCAGTAAGCTGCCCCGCCCCTTACTTAGCTCTAACACATCTGATCCAGCCAATCAGGGACTTGGAAATAGAATGCTTAGCTGGAGCAGGAGTGAAATTGTGGTTGGAACTAGACTCTGCAGGAAAGTAGCTCTCCAGGAGGGTTGGAGACCACTGCTTTGGTCAAGGACTGCTGAGGTTTAGTCTGGCTCTGCTGAATTCAGAGTGCTTCATTACTGCTTTAATTACAATAAAGTCATTTCCATCAAGTTTAAGGAGGCGTCATTTTTCCTTGCAGTTTTAGTAGTTATGTGTCTCAGGTTGCACCATTTACTGCTCACATTTAATCCACCCCCCCCACCCCATCTCCTATTGCTGCTATCTTTAATGTTCCTGTCTGTATAAAAAATGAATAAAAAGAAAAAAAGAATCATTAAAAAAAAAACACTTAACAAACATACACTTTCTTGTTCAACTCAAGAAGAAGTTGAACAAGTTGAAGAGGAAGAAGACAGATTCAATGTGTCAATATGTGTCTTTGCAGGGATTCATACGTGTCAGTGGATGTCTGGCTGTGAGCTGCATGATGATGGAACTAAGAGAGGATACAGTAAATACGGTTATGATGGAGAAGATTTCCTCAGTCTGGATCTGAACACTCTCACCTGGACTGCAGCTAATCAGAAAGCTGTTATTACCAAACAGGAGTGGGAGAAGACGGATAAAGCCAAAAACCAAAAGACCTTTCTGGAGACTGAATGTATCCAGTGGTTACAGAAGTATGTGGGTTATGGCAGATCCACTCTGGAGAGGAAAGGTGAAGTGTGTGAGCTGATCTGTTACTGTGCTGATCTTAGCTTCACTGGGGCTCTGAGCAAAACTTCATTCACCCATAACCTCAACTTGGACCACACATCTACATCCTCTACCAACACACCCTTAATTCCCTTTATAACAGTCTTCAGCTGCTAATCATAATGTTAACTCAGCAGTTCTTCTGTTAGATTCACTTACTTGAATAAGTTACTGATACAAAAAAATGACTTCAAATTTATTTTTTCTACATTTTACATGATTAACGCTTATTATAGTGAGTCCACTCAAACACTCCTGGGACATTCTGAGATCTTTATGTCTGGCTAAATTAGCCATATTTACTGAATGATTGAGTGAAGTTTAGCTCATAAACTCAATTTCAAACACTGCCATCCATTTAACAGTATTATTTTAGCTAGTAATAACAAACATTAGCAAACTGATAATAAGCTCTTTTTTTAAATCTCCCTATACAGGTTTATATAGAGCACATCTTAGATAAGAAAGCTTTGAAACATTTTCAATGATTGGCTCTCTCTCTCTCTCTCTCCAGTCCCTCCTGAGGCGTCTCTGTTCCAGAAGGACTCTTCTTCTCCAGTGGTGTGTCATGCTACAGGTTTCTTCCCCAAAGCAGTGATGATCTCCTGGCAGAAGAATGGAGAGGATCTGCATGAGGACGTGGAGCTCAGAGAGACGCTACCCAACCAGGATGGAACCTTCCAGAAGAGGAGTGTTCTGACTGTCTCACCTGAGGAGCTGAACAAGAATGAATACACCTGCATCATTCAGCACAGCAGCCTGGAGAAGAAGATGGTGTTACCAGTTATTAATCACAAAGGTGAGAGAAATAAGATGTATATTTAGTTTTAAAGTCACTGATGATCCAAATTACAATAATAATGATCTTTGACCAATTTAGTTTCAGATGGAGTCCGGATTGGTATCATCATTGGTGCAGTAGTGTCTGTTCTCCTCGTTATCATCGGTGTTTTTGCATGGATGAAGCAGCAGCAGCAGCCTGGTAAGAGAAGGAAATAAACACGTGGATTATTTATGGTGAATATGTTAAAGTAATCCAGGGAATTTAGACTAGATACTAATCTGAATGTGTTAATGAGGGGCTGCTAAGTGAAACTTAGCTTTTTCAGGTCAGGATCATTCTGTTGGTTTTATGGGCATTCATCCAAGAGCCTGAGCCACTAGGGGGCCCCAGCAACCAGGGTCCTTTCTGTGTTGAGTCTGCATGTTCTCCCTGTGTCTGTGTGGGTTTCCTCCCACAGTCCAAAGACATGCTGTCAGGCGAATAGGACATGCTAAATTGGCCGTAGGTATGTGTGTCTGCCGTGTGATGGACTGGTGGCCTGTCCAGGGTGTTTCCTGCCTTCCGCTCAATGACGGCTGGGATAGGCTCCAGCACCCCCTGCGATCCAGAAGGATAAATGGTTTATACAGTGTGTATGTTGTGTTCTTGACTAGCTGTATGAACTTCACAAGCAGAACAACAACTAATGAACTGTTTTTAACTTTATCATAATCCTGATGCTCTCCACATCATCCCTAAACATCCGCTTCTTTTTTTTTTAACTTGTCAATATGCCATTGTCTTCATGCAGCCAGTGCAGACCAGCATAGTAGCCTTCTTTCTAAACAATAAGAAATCAGTGATGAATAATTTAACTTTACATTAAACTATCATACCTGACAAATATTTAATTCAAGAGGTTCATTTCTAGAACAACTCAGATGTGTTTTATAGCACAAGCCCCAGACTGTACAGCCTGAAACAATCAAAAACAATCAAACAAATAAATAAATAAAAATTATATATGTGATAGTAGTGACACGTCTGACACCACGGTTAGTGTGCTGCCATGGTGGTACTGCACAACCCTCATGTAATCCCTGACCTGATCTTCAATATGTGAATACAGTGTGTCCACTAATGGTCATTTTGTCTTTGTGTTTGTATTTCTAGGACAGAAATAAAGAAGCAGATGATGAGTGATTCTGAATCGACTCTGAGTGAAGAGATCAGTCAAACACTGCTTACATTACACAGTCAACTTTATTAATTAACCTTGAATTTGGAAACTTTTTCTCTTTTTGGCTTCATTTTTCATTTTTTTTCTGTTTTTCCATTTGATATGATGCCCATTGGGAAAATGTCATAGAAGCAGCTATAGACTTTTATTCTGTAGGATCTCAAAACTGTATCACATTGTAATATTTGTTGAATTCAGTATGTTGTATTTGTTTTTTTATTCCTACACTTGCCTTATAAAACCATCCTGAAACTGACCACTGCACTGTAATACACTCAGTTTCAGACTGGACTTCCTTCAGTACAAGCTCTCTGGGCATTTTTAACAAAGTGACAATTTATGGAATTCATTTTCTTTTGAGGTTATTAATATTCATGGAACTGGATTAGATTAGAGTATAAACACTGTAATTCTCTCAAGGAACTGAATCACAGTAGATGTGGGGCTGTGGCCCATTTAGAGTGACGCATGACACAATGATTAATATTTATAATGGATATTCCGTTATGAGGATATAGTCATTAACAATGTTCAGTGTAAAACATTTGCTTTATAAGAAATGGAGATGCATCGATACTGATACTGGTATCAGGTATTGACCTGATACTGCACTTATTCACTCGACTCATGAGCATAAAAACACACTGATACCAGCATTCAATACCGTGTGTGATACAAGTTAGCAGAGCTACTGTAGCTTAGTTTTCTGTGTGTTTGCTCAGTGCTTGATGCACTGTGTGTTATTTTGAATGGAACTCTTTTATTGATGATGATTGTCCTTAGACAGAGCTGCCTGTAGAGGCTGTGTTTCACATACGTCACCCAGACTTAGCGTTTTAATACAGTGTGAGTATATAAATTGTAGGCTTTGTCTGTACATGGTGGTCTATTCAAATGTAGAGTGTGTCTGGCTTTAGAGGATATTCATCTATAGCTTAACCAGCCAAAAACCACTCCAACAAGACGAAAATTCAACACGCAAGCTCCTTGGATGTGATTCCTGCTGTCACTGACCTACAGAGACCATTATTATTATTATTATTATTATTATTATTATTATTATTATAGCTGATATTTGATCCTTGATCGATAGGACATTTACATCAAATCATCAGAGAAAGAGAATTGTTCTTTGTTCAGGAAGTTCTGTCTTTTGTTCCACTGTACAGAATATGAATATATTTTTAACTCTTTAATGATAAAACAGTGTCTTAATATGAATTACCCAAATATGTGAATTTTAAATAAAGTTTTAAATACTTTTTAAAAACTTGTTTTATTGATTTCTGTTCTTCACTGACATCTTTATATCACGCTCTGCCGTTCTTCACTGATGTTAAGTGTTTATATTCAGTATTGGAGATGTTTTAGTGTTTGATATCTGAAATATAGCCTGTCTATGTTCCAGCATAGACATCCATGTGATCTTAGATCTGCAGATACTGACCTTCTGCAAACCCCTTCAGTGAAATACAGAAAACATAGAGAGGCCTTGTTCAGTTATTCTGCTTCTAAACTGTGAAGCTCAGTTCACCATTTATTAGACAGTCGAGCTCAGAGCTCACTTTTAAGAAGCATCTAAAATTGTATCTCTTTAACTTTGCATATAATTAAAACTCTAGGTCTTGTGGTGTCTATCTTTAATTTGATCTGTGTCATTTTCTTATAGGATTCCAAATTAATACTCATAATTTCTTGTATTAATCTTTAATTTTGTCATCTATCTGTAAAGCACTTTGAGCTGCCACCGGCATAAAAAGTGCTATATAAATAAAAGTTGTTGTTGTTGTTGTTGTTGTTGTTATTTTTATTATTATTATTATTATTATTATTATTATTATTATAACCCCATTTTCCAAAAAGTTGGGACGCTGTGCAAAATGTAACTAAAAAAAAATGCAATGATGTGCAAATCATTTAAACCCTGTATTTCATTGAAAATAGTACAAAGACAACATATCAAATGTTGAAACTGAGAAATTTTATTGTTTATTGAAAAATATGTGCCCATTTTGAATTTGATGCCAACAAAAAGTTGGGAAGGGGGAACAAAAGGCTGGTAAAGTTGTGTAATGCTTAAAAAAACACCTGGTGGTTAATTGGCAACAGGTCAGTAACATGATTGGGTATAAAGAGCATCTCAGAGAGGCGGAGTCTTTCAGAAGTAAAGATGAGGAGGGGTTCACCACTCTGTGAAAGACTGCACAATCAAATAGTGCAACAATTCAAGAATAATGTTTCTCAACATAAAACAGCAAAGAAATTTTGCTTTTCATCATCTACGGTACAAAATATCATTAAAAGAGTCAGAGAATCTGGAAAAATCTCTGTATATAAGGGACAAGGCCAAAAACCAGTATTTGCTGGCCGTGATCTTTGGGCCCTCAGACGGCACTGCATTAAAAACAGACATGATTCTGTAGAGGAAATCACTGCATGGGCTCAGAAACACTTCTGAAAACCACTGTCTGTGAACACAGTTCATCACTGCATCCACAGATAATATCCCTGCCCAGATAATCAATTTGCCTATAATATAATATACATATAAAACATAATTAAGAATTTTGCACAGTATTGTTTATTTATGCAATGTACAGTTTCTTTTGCAATTGAACACTTCAAGATTTGGGTTAGTTTCAGTTTCTGATGGGTGGGTTTTAAGTAGACAGTAGAAATTTGCTGGACCTGGCAACCCTGGCTGAGTCTCGAGAGCAGAAAGAAGAAAGCTCCTCAAGAGAGTGAAGAGATCGACTGATCATTTTGTCCAGATTAAGGAGTTTATTTCTCTCATTATGGTTCCAGTCCGCAGTGAGAGATGGGACACATCATGAAGTCCCTGCTGCTCCTCATCTTCACTCTTCATCTCGCTTCAGCAGGTCAGTCCAAAGGCTAACGCTGCGCTCCAGCAGCTTCCCTGTTTCTAAATCACACTGTCCTATTTATTATTATAAACTCTGGGTTTAATGCTGTACATATGACAGAGAACAGATAACAGATAATAGAGTATATTAGTACTGACTGGGCTTTGAAGTGGGAAAGTCGGAGCTGGGAATTTTCTACATCCACTACAAAGTGGGAAAACATGGACTCTATAAAAGGGCGTATAGTTGGCAACAAGCCAACCAGCTAACAATAGAGATATGAGTGAGGACTGTAATATGAGTGATGTGTTTACATGCTCAAAACAGTGACCTCTATGGTCAAGTGTTACAGATTTAACCAGTTACTGAAAAACATTCGAACGGATTCAAATGTGTACATTGACACTACATTCCAGTACTGTGCAGACAGGGGTGGCGCCACAGCTCTGAAAGTGAACAGGCAAGACACAGCTGACAGTGTCAAAATGCAGCCAGGCCACTGACTGACTGACTAAAACTTCCTTTTATGTTATACTAATAACATGTCTTTATAAACCTGTTCATTAGAGCTTTAGTGACATTGTTGTTGGAAGAAAATCTCCAAAATGGTAACTTTACAGGAGAAGAAAAAACCTACTTTACTTTTAATGTAAGTCAATGGAACCAGATGTTTTTCCAAGTCATTTTGGGCCGTTTCTTTTGGTCCATTCATCATGAAATTTACATACAATGTAAAGGTGAACAGACCTTTTCAAATTATGTCAAAAACTGAAAAACGACAAAAATGGAGATACAAGGTTTACTCCCAACAACGGCAATACATTTCATTTTGTTCAGCTGTTTTCACACTGCAGTGGCCAAAGTGGACTAAATTACACACAGCAGTGATCAATTATTGGTCAGAGATTTTGCAGGGATGCAAACACTCTGAAAATATAAAAATATAAATAGAAAATATAAAATAGACGCAATGTCTATGTTTATAACAAACAAAGCAATAATAATAAACTTTATTTGATATCTGCTTCTTTATGATTGGTTTACCACATTGAATTTAACCAGTCAGGTGGAAACATGTTCTGCAATCCAGACTGTGCAAAAATTAAAAGCCTATCTTGGCTATTATTTTATAGCTCGTCCCTCGTTATTATTATCAGCTCGTGCTGCAGGAACTATATGACAGTCTGTAAAGAGTAAGACGTTAAAACAGGCAGATTATACAGACAGTAAAGCGCTGATGTGCACTGAGAAAAACAGTCCCTGTGTTGAATTCTCTCGTTTGGTGTCGACCATCATAAAAAGGCATTCTCACCAGCAGTGAACCGAATCTGGGGTCACCAGTCCCAGTCAGTTTTTTGGTGCGTATGACAGCAACCTTAGTATAGCAATAAGAAATATTAAAATTGACATTTGGTAAATTCTAGCTGTGACAGTGCTTTAGTTCGTGTACAGCAGTAAAAACATTACTGGATCAGTGAACTGCAGCTCCTCTCACTCTGAACAAACTCACCCAGGATTTACTGGTTCGCAAATGTCCTGCCTCCCATCTGAAATGGAGATTCCAAGTGGTTCTGCTACTGAGTTTGACTCTCTCTGTTCAGGTTTATTGGTCAGCGCTCTGTGTAGAACCCAAGCAAAAAGTGGTGGGTTGTTGCCCCAGTACTTTCAAAAGTGGTGGGTCACATGCCCATATTTTTTTGTTCATCAAGGTACAAACAATGAATTATAACCTGGGGTGGCCGGTAACCTAATGGTAGGAGAAGTGAGCCATCAACCTAAAGGTTGACTAGATATACCTGTCTGTGCCCTTTTGCAAGGCACTTAACCCCCCACTGTCCCAGGCAGCGCTGTGCTGCTCCCAGATTGGGTATAGTGAGGCAGCAAAATGACGGATTTCCCTTGTAGGACCCACAAAGTACATAACATTAACATAACCTCAAAATGTACCCAAACAGTGGTCTTAAGGTCCAAAGTCTGGAGTCAGTTTTTTCAGTGTGTTTGTGAGAAGCAGATCTCACTTTGCATTATTTTCAATGAAATATAGGGTTTCAATGATCTTTACCTCAAAGGATTGGCGTGTCTTTAAGTCAGTTGGATGCTTAAAGGAGAATTCCACCATTTTTTTGTATAAACAGACCCCAAAAAATACTTTTTCTCCGACTATTTTACTTATGTCAGGATT